GATCCAAGAGTACGAAAACCCACCCTCATACTTTTCCGGAATCTCCAAGAGTACGGGCGCCAACCTCGTCAGGGTCGTTTCTCCCCACCACTTGACTTGTCGTCCCTACCTAATTTTCCGCCTCCTAGTTTCTTACAATGAACCCATCCAGTTTCAGAGTGGCTCAGTCAGAAGGGAGTTGTGTGCCTTGGGGGTTGCCTCAGTACACTCGACTGGGCATTGTGTGGTCGCAGTATGCTGCCCTTGTAAGATGGAGGGGAACTCCAGCTGGTGTTGCGTATGCCGTATATGCTGAGAGGTGTTCCTACAACAAGGCTGCAGCCTCGGGTTGAGTGGAACACAGTCACGGCCGTGCAATCTGTGGCGAAGGTGGCAGCAGTTTGAGCCATGACTTTGAACGTTGACAGACAACTCTGCATTTGTCGAGTCCAGTGCATCCTCTTCCTCTTAGTCTTGAGCTTGTTGAGCGCAGTCAGTCTACAGACGACGGTTCTTACCATTGCTAGCTGGATTGTAGGTAGCAAGCGCAAGCACCCATATACATATACATATACATATACGCCTGCGTAGACATACAAATGTATACATGTATGTTTATACAAGAGTCTTTTGTGCATGTGTGTGCCCTTTTATGCCCGGATTTATCCGTCTGTACACATGCGAGCATACATACAAGTTTAGCTGTACACCCAAAGCTTTTTTTCCGCATGCGAAGTTCTGTTTACAGCTAGGTTGGTGGAGTTTACGCATGCTCCAATCGCGACCTCCTTCGCGTCGTTCCTTGGACAGCATTTTAGGACTGATAAAGAACATGGAAGCTGCTACATCATCTAGGGTTTTGGGTTTTGGAGCCTCTTGCAAATTAGAAGAATGGAGAATGAACTGGAGACGGAGCTGGAAAGTGAAGTGGAAGTTAGGTTACATAGTGGTTGAGAAGGTGGTTGACAGGGTGACGCTGCCGCTTGCCAACTGTCGACTCAGTAGCCCAGATGATTCGTACAAAGGGACCATTGCCGTCTTCTTGATCCCCTCAGTGAATCAGTCTGTCGCTTCCAGCAAGTAGACAAACCCAAGGCCTTGAAGGAGCGTATGGGATTCCGAGGCCAGCTCGGGAAACCTCTTGGTTTGCACAGCTGGCAGCTAGTGTTCCCATCCTTTAGGGCCTTTGCCATGTTGCTCGCTTCAGAGTTGCTTCCCAGTATGGCAGGCTTCGTTCAATCAGACTGGTGGGCGGCCACCGAGATGGCCCTGGAGCAGGGCTTAGACCAGGCACCCGGCAGACAGCGTGCATGTCCGTTCAGGGGTCCTCCAAGCTTTCCGATGGGTTTGGCTGGCCAGATTCCCGCTTTGAAATGTCAGACGGTTCTACTTTCTGCTGGACCGCACAGGCTTATCTGGCGTCTTTGTGTCAGCACAACATGTGTGTGAACTACAATTCCTTGTAGTATAGGAAGACATGCAATGGCACTGCTAAAGGTTTTTGTTCGTGAGAGAGTTTATGCCCACTTGCATGCTATGGCTCGGCTCTCAGCTTTGCTGGGCTGCCAGGATCTCATTGCCGGGTTTCTTGTTTGTGTCTGGAAGACGAGAATCTTCTCCCTTTGTAATCTTGTCAAAATGATGGAAGCCTATCCAGCTAGAAAGGCGTCAGGCTGTAGCAGGCGTGGCGTTTGTCCAGACATACCGCGTAAGTGGCGCATAAGTAGTGGACAAATTTTAGTTGAGAGGCCTCAGTAGATGTGTGTACCTCTACTCAAGATACTTGGCCGAAATTGGTGCCAGTCTAGGTCTTGGCTTCAAGATTTCGGGAAATGATGATTTGAGGTGCAGATTGAATGCTTCGGTTTCAAGCGTTTCGAGCAGGGTGTTGCGAAGTCAGTGGCTTTCGGACTCATTGGGTGGTTCGGAGCTGCTAGCAAAGCTAAGTTTGGGTCCGTGAAGTTTTTCCAAAGTTGTTTTCTGGTGAGAATGGTCATGTCGTAGATGAAGGAATTTGAACAACACCCACATAATCCCAATTAATCCCACATACTTCAATCATCATGTCTGCCATTGTTTTACTTTCACGTCACGGCTGGCAGGAGATGCCTGGGACGCAAGGTTTATACAGCCTGGAGGCCAGGCTCACTTCCCAGAGAGAGCCAATGGATTTGGTTTGTGGATGCAGGGTGAGAGATGAAAAGCGGTCAGTTAGATTGAGGGGAGTCACTTGCAATACTTCGGGCATTTCCATGGTAGCAGGAGTTGAAACGCCAACCTCCAGATCTAGTGGATGATGCAGTGCCAGCCGCTCAGCTACTCGTAGCGCTTCTATGGCTGCATGTGTCAGACCTTGGCAATCACTTGCTGCGAGGCGGAGAATATTGGCCGTCATGTACAGGCCAGTGTCCAAGCGTACCTGCTCACCCCGACCTGCTTTGTAGGAATGTCGGAGAGACAAAATGCACTGAGCAGGTTTGATTTGATGAGAACGGCAAAATGTACACCGCTCAACTGCACTGAGCGGCAACCTCAACCAGGGAACACCGGCCACTCTCTCTACCCGACACAGTTTGAAGGCTTGAAATACAAAGCGGACAGTTCGTCTGTTTTGAGCCAAGAAGCGCTCTGTAAGGTACCTGCGGGCCAATGTAACTTCTCCAATGCACAGATCACTTTCTGGGGAGTTGGCCACGCAATCCATTGTGGAAGCCCAAGGACAACGCACAGCTTGCTTTCAACTGGGCACTTCTTGCCTGCAAAAGCCGAGATTCTGGAGGGAGATGGCAAGGTGCTTGCAAAGTTGTTCTAACTATCCGTGGCCCTCTTTGCCCGAGGTCTTGCTGCAGAACGTCTAGTCCTTACAAAGCAGTTGCCATGTAAATGTTTTGCTTGTGCTCTGTTCAACAGTCGCCCCTCAACAGAATCAATTGCAAAAACCCAGATCATCCCGAACCGCGAAGCACAGGAAGCACACCCAGCACTCAAGTATTTTATGAGGAGACTTTGTCCTTGGCATCTCGCCTGACAAACGATTGACTCCGAATCTTGCAGTTAGGGACAATTTCTGTCTACAAATTCTGTCTGAGGGCCGCGGTTCTCAAAGAGCAATTGAACAATTATCAATAGCAAGGTCCTTCATGTTTTTCCGAATCTACAGAAGCGAGGATGTCATGGCAACGAGCTTCCATGCACTTGTGCTCTGCGAGTTAGGGAGTAGCATGCTACAGTGTCTCGTTGGGTTGAGCAAGCTGAGTCCAACGTGCTTCCGCTGTCCAAAGTGAGCGGCCTGGCTGCCACGTTGTCCCAGCTTTTTTGGTGAAGATATGATTCTGTTCAAGCTTATTCCTTCTGCTGAGGTTAAGACGCTTGCGGTTGTGGGCGCTTATCTGGCATTAGTACTTTTCATGGAGTTTCCAAGACCAGACTACGCCTTCCATCGTTGACCCCGAAGCACGGGCCCGCACAATGTTGCTTGCGCGCGCTAGCCTGCGGGCAAGTTGGACAAGTGTAAAACTGTAAGGAACGATGCTTTCGTGTCAGATGCAAGGTGCTGCGGCTGTTTCTCGGCGCGAGCCTTACCCTCTTCAGGGAGCGGCGCTTGCAAATGCCTTTGCGCTTCAAGCCGCGGCTTTTGGTCTCATGTTGGGCCAGGCCTTATGATCCAAATGGCAAAGATCAGGGTACCAATGCCTGGGTCGGGTTTCTCAGACCGGACGGAGAGTTTCGTTTACGCTGCATGTCTGAGAATGCCGTCTTGTCATTCCATAGCCACAGTCGAAGTCCACTTGTTTCAGAACTTCATCGCTGTACCTAGAGTCTAGGGGAGGACTTTGCGTGCGGGATGTGGGCTGCTACCGCCATGGAGGCACTTAACAGCGTCTCGACACAGCAGCCAGCTACACCATTTCGGCGTTCGGTTCCCAACCTTCAGGGATTAAAGCCCGTCCGGCGCAGTAGGCTTCGGGTCTGAACGTCTCTTCCACTGGGAGAATTCTATGAGATGCAAGTCTCGCAACGCATCGCAAAGTCTCCGGATTGTGGCGTTCAAGCTCAATGGCCTGCGTCGTATGCCGCATGTCATTGGAGGCCGCTAGTGAGTTGCTGAAGATGTCCACGGAGTAGTGGCAAACGGACAAGCAAGCAATGAGGCTGTTGGCGATTACTACTCGGGGGGTGGAAGCCGTGACCTCAACTTGTGTGGCTTGCTGTTGGAGATGACGTTCACGCCTCCAATCCACATGAGAAAATTATCAGCAAGCAGGTGGCCATACGGTAGCACGGGATGCCTGGCGCTGAGCTTTCAGCTGTCAGCTTGGGATATGGTGCGTTGCCTGCTCCCATGATCAGGTCGTGACTCCCCTGGAGGGAATCCAGAGGCTGCGTGGCAGTGATACGTGTAGGAGTGCCTGAAACCTTTCTGACATGTATGCTGGCACGGGACAGGCGGTTTGTCATGAGTCATGACGCCTGTAGCCTTCTACTGGAACATGCATGGATATGGCGGTGGGTGGTAGGCACTCCATCATGAAGAAGCTCCTGATGTCCTGATGATAGACACGGTGGGGTGGACAGTGACTATTTCAATATGATGGGAAGAGGTATGGGTTACCTTTTCGCCGCGGCTACTGGCTGCAAGCCCTCCACTGACGAGCAGGGATTGCAATCTCACATCCCCTGCCTGCGTGTACATACCTTTTTCATTTTCTCATCTTCCAAGGCATCCCAAGGCTGGGCCTGCAAAGGTTTGATATGCTAAGGGTGAGTTACAGGTGCGGTGCAAGCGCTAATGCTTGGACGTGCTTCCTAGCAGTAAACTTTTGGCCTGTCAAAGCTTACGTTATGAGCGCTTCAAGCATTGAATGGCATGCAGCAACAGTGCTAGCTTTGGGACTGCGAGGCGTTCTGTTAAAGTGGAGGTGCTGCTTCTGCAGATAGAGGTTCTGACGCATTGCCGATGGTGTGGCTTCCAGGCTTTCTAAGAGCTCCGAATCTGAACCTGACTTGCCTTGCCCTGCAGCATGCTTTTCTTCCTCTTCGCAGCGGCCCTTAGCTTCATCCAAGCTGCTTCCTTCCAGGACTCGTTATCATTCAGCATGTTTGGCAAACAGAAGTGCGTACATAGTTTCATATCGTGTTTGCCAGGACCTTGCACAGGAGGAGGACACCTTCGCAGAAAGCATAAACACTGAGCTCCTGCAGGCCCGCTCGTAGGTTAGTGAGCTCATGCGAGGACTCTGTTACTATGGTTTCCTTGTTGCTAGCAGCTTTCTCTGGGTTTCAGTTTGCCTTCTTGCCCTTTTCTAGTCACGACTTCGAGTCCAAGCAGGCCATTGAACAGTTTTTCAACTTTAGAACTGCCAGGTTAAGATCGAGCTGACAAAGAACGGGCTGCTTGGCAAGAAGTGGTACCAAAGCCAGGTGAATCTAAATATCAGCCTCGAAGATTCTTGAAGCAGAAGCTGGGCGCCAACGTTTTCTGTTGTCATTCGGGTCTCGAACCTCAGGTGCTTTTGTGTGTGGGGTTGCAGGCTTGATCTTGGCCAGCACGTCCCGGCGCAGAAAGTGGCGGAACGACACTTGGCTCACGGATGGACGGATCCCACTTGGGGGTGTCTGGCAGGTGATCTGATGTGGTGTGGATTTAGGGGGCTGCAGGCCGGTGCTTGCACGCAGTATCAAGACGTGCAAGTCAGCCCAGGCTTGAACGAAGCGGCGTCTCGTCTGAAGCAGACGCGTAAAGTCTTCTTGAGCAAGTTTGTTTTTTAAAGTGAGCTGCGATGAGCCCAAGTCAAAAGACCTTGAAGTCGGCTCATGAGGTGACAGCAAACGACACCTGTGCAGAGTACTGCAAGTTTGTTGGATCAGTGCTGTGGCGTTACGACCCGCAATGCCAGGGTTGCAAGGCAGGATGCTGAATGTAGAAAAAAGAGTCTGTCAAATAGGAAACATATGGAGACAAACCAGCTGGGTGCTGGGCTTTCATGCCGCATCGACTGAGGGCCAAGCCAAACCTGAAGCATAAGAAGTTCCTTTTCTGTTCCGAACGTCCGATGTCGTTGTTGTATTTTGCAAGTGGAGTCTTCCCAGATTTGTGTTTGCCTGACGCGCCCCTGTTCTTGGAGATTTGTTCGCCATTTACTTTATTTTGTTTTCAGCCCTTCACATTTGCAAGGCATCTTTGGTGCAAGTGGGCAAGTGCATGGATTATTGCAAGTATGAGCCGAAGAGTGTGCGGCAGTATGATGCCAACTGCGGCAATTGCACTGCGTTGGTGCAATTCGCTGCTACAGGCGAGAAGACTGGATGCGCAGACTATTGCAAGTATGTCGGCACAGCCATTCGAGCAAACGTTCCCGATTGCAAAGACTGCACAGGCTCTCTCATTGAAGAGCATTCTGTGCAGAACCCGTGCGCCAGTTGGTGCCAGTATGAAGGCCCGGCCGTGTGGCAGTACGATAGCAACTGTGGCGGTTGTGCTGGCCCACTCTTGAACAGATCTGCAGTGGGCTGCCTCGACTACTGCCAGTATGTTGGGTCAGCAGTTTGGCAGTACAATCCAGACTGCCAAGGTTGTGCGGTGCCATATGACTCATCTCTCTTGCAAGAAAACAAGCAAGGCGACTGCAAGCCATATTGTCAATACGAGCCGTCAGCGGCTTGGCAATATGATGCCAACTGCCAAAATTGCAAGCCGACAGCTTTTGAGCAGCAGGCCACGGCTATGGCGGCTGCATCAAGCGAATGTGCCGACCATTGCCAGTACGTGGGAGCTGGCCTTTGGCAGTACGACCCACAATGCCAGGGTTGTAAGGCTTCTTTGATGCAGTTGGGCAAGTGCAAGGACTACTGCAAGTACGAGCCGAAAAGTGCATGGCAATATGATGCAAATTGTGGCAATTGCACCGCGCTGGTGCAGAGCACAGACACAAAAGAAGCGACAGGATGTGCAGAATATTGCAAGTATGTAGGCACTGCCGTTCGGCAATACAATCCCGAGTGCAAGGATTGCAAAGCCTCCCTGATGCAGAAGAGTGTTGAAATTGCCCCATCCTGCAGCGATTACTGTCGGCATGAACCATCAGGGCTTTGGCCTTACGATGCCAATTGCCAAGATTGCGCGCTGATCCACGGAGGAAGTGTGGAGACAGAGATGACACAGGATTCCAGCAAATGCGAGGCGTCTTCCCAGGGCCCAGCCCGGAACCGCTAAAAGTGTCATGCAGTAATCTAATTAATTCAATTTGAATTCCAACAGCTTTGCCCTTCGTGGTCGTGCCGCATGCCTGCAAGGACCACTGCAAATTTGTCGGTGCGGCAGTCTGGCAGCACGACCCAGATTGCCAAGGATGCAAGACGTCTGTGCTACAAAGTTGGGCACCTTCACGTCCGGAGAAGGGACAGTGCCAGGCCTACTGCAAATACCAAGGAGCCTGGGCAGCTGTGGGGCAAGCTTTTTTTTTCTTCGGAGATGAGCTGATGCCGATGGTAAGCGTACAAGCCACTGATGAATGTTATGGGGAGCCTTGTCACGTTAGCTGAGGAGCTGCCATTTGGCGGCTTGATGCGGGCTGCAGCGGATGTTTCCATGCTCTCCTCAAGGTCTGAGATTCAGTGCTAAACGGGTAGGACAGATGGTGCATGCGGGCTTCCAAGAGATATTGTTGGGATCCTCCCCTGGTCCCGCGTACTCTGCACTGTTTCAGTCAGTTGATGGCTCCCTTCTTTTTTGGCAGCGGTTTCTTGTCGCCTTCCTGTGCCTGCTTCGTTTGGCAGGTAGACTCCCTAGGCAATGCAAGCAAGAGTGAGAAGCTAGGTTCGAGCTAGTAGATTTTTTTACTTTCTTCTTTGCAAGTCTGCATTTGCATGGGATGACTTTGTGCAATCTCAACACCTTGAAATTGATAGTGAGGCCCCTAGCCACACTATTTGCAGCCTAGCTCCCAGTGCGGCAGCCAGTGACCAAATCACCCTCCTGCCAACAGACCTCTGGGTGGAGTAGATCCATTCTAGCATGCTTGAGACCTCGAGAATGATTCGCATTTTGCAGATGCACTTGATGCAAGGTGCTCCACAATCACTGGCGGCACCTGCATGTTCAACAACTGCGACTACACTCGAGGGCCTACGCAGTGCAACTGGGCGCGGCTCTGCGTCTGCCCACAGAACTTCTGCGGCTTGGCCGCGATGTCAGGCTTTAGTCTTCAGTGTGGTGTGGGGAGGATCTTGGCCTAGTGGCTCGATACATCTCAACACCACATGCTTGTTCGAGTCTGTGACACGAGAACCTATAGACTCTAGACAGCATTTGTTTCGATTGGTTGGTGTCCGAAGAGGCTCGCAGAATGGCGTATGCATCTTCAACCTGAACAGCATGTTTCGCTAGCTTCTGAGGGGAGGCATTTGTACAAATCTGGACATGGATGCCGTGTAACACAGTCAGGAAAAAAGGCGTGCTGCGAAGCTAGCTGAGCAAGCGAACGAGTGCAGGGTATGCGGCGGCACTTGCGGGTGGCAGTTTGGGGTCAGACTTGTTTCATCGAGGGTCCGCAACGAAGGACCCTGGAACGACTGTCGGATTGATTGTGGGTTCAGGCTTTGGGGTTTTGCGTTGAACTTTTGATAAGTCTTGTGATCGCTTACGGAGTATCATCATATCAGCTATTGCCTATTGCAGTTATCCTGCCTGTAGGTAGCAGCTTGGGTTCAGCGCCCCCGCTGTCCCACAGCAAAGGAAAGGCAAGTATTCGTTGTATGACGAACTCTAAAAAGTCTCTTTTACACTTCCAAATAGCAAGGCACCAAAGCCTATGCGTTGCAACAGTATGGCAGATCGTTCGCCAGATTCTGTCCTGTCCAACTTGCTTCAGGGCTTGTGATATGATCTTAACGCAGCCTTCAAAGAGCAGTTGGGCAGGCGAGCGCAGCAACAAGGTGTGACAGTGCACGCCCCAGCAACTGGCGCTGGACAAGTCAGCACAACAGATTGAGAGCATCACCATGATCAGCATGTAATGTGCAAAGCAGGAGGGTTGTCACAGGTTGTGAATCATCTGCCAGGTCTTGTCCTCAACAAGCGATGATGTATCTCCAGCCCTTGCTGTTGCAAAGCAGGTGCCGGCCTCTAAAACAAGCGGCGAGGTGTTAGTTTGCGAGAGCTTGGCACCATTTCTTGTGATCGTAAACGACGGAAAGCCAGTGGCACAGGCGGACGTAACCATTGTCGTCGCTGCCACGACTTGCGGAGAGAGTGCCGATCGGCAAAATCTCAGCCTGGATGGAGGCCAACTTTCGTTTGTTCAACATCGGGGTGGCGGTATAGACTGTGGACAGTCCTTGAAAGTCCTGAAAAAGCAGGGCAGAGACCTGACACAGAACCAGTTTCCAAACTTGAGAGGAGCAGACGATCTCATAATGGCAGTGTCAGCAGCGAAGCCAGCTGCCCAGTAACCTACGGACATGCTTGTTGAACGAGATTGCGGCGAAGCGTGTGATGGATTTTTGTGGTTCTTTTGATGTGTGGCCATGAGCTGCCAGGCAAACGGTGGTTTTGATCCAGGCTCCTGGGGTGGATGGCTCAGAGTCATGGTGTTTGAACCTCCAGGCTACCCGCGAGGCTGTATGCATGGTCTTTCGGGATGGACTGCGGCATATCCACCGAGAATCGCTAGGGGAATCCAGGGGACGCAGTTGGTAGAGTAGCCATTGCATTCAACCTGGAAGTGTTTTCCATCTGAGGCTGTTGTAATGCCATGGAAGAAGTCAGCCGACGCAATCCTCATGATGTTTCTGGGGGGCGAGGCGAAAGTGTACAGGGCCTGTAGGGGCTTGCAATGCTGGACTGGGGGCTACTTGAAGCTGCTGTTGGTGGTAGGAAACTGGCACTGCTTGGGCAAGAATCCTGCGCTGAACTGAGCTGATCCAGGAAGTTGGAGCACTTCCTGAAGCGTCCAGCCCGAACATGCATGACCTTGATGAAAGCTGATGGAAGCCAAGATGGTCCAAGGTTCGGTGATGAGGCCCCTGCTGGACGGCTTCCCATCATGATGCCCCTGACCGAAGCGGATTCCATCAAGCCAAGACCGCAGCTTGTGTTTGCCAGGGTGATTCAGGGGGGCCGGTTCAGGGATGAGCCTGTGAACTGCCCTGCAAGACTGCAAGAAGTCCTTGGCTAAGGCCGGGCACAGACTTGTGGGCGCCCATGAGTTTGCCTTGTTTGTCTTGCTTGCCTTGGTAGAGCTGCATACTCCTTTTGCAAAACGTGTGTGCAAGGAATGTGGACTATGACGAAGGCTTGCGGACTAGCTACAGGACCTGAACAATTGAATCGCTTGCCCACAGTTAAAGTTCGGTTTTCGCAGGAATCCAAGCTTCAAAGATGCATTTCCGTTTGGACATGGGCTCACATATACGACCTTTGAGCTGCTCGGCTGCACCATGCCACTCATAAGTCATCGATTGGTTCTTGAATTTGCGGGTCTACTGGTCTACAGCTTCGCAACGGGCTTTGACCTTGAGGTGTTGAGTGTTGAGGAGATGCCACTTTCACCTTGACGCTAACTAGACATGTCATAACTACTTGAACGAAGCCTTTTGCCGCAATCCATGCCTCCACAGAGTTTTCGTAATCTGTGGTGCAGGTACAGCCAGCCGGTCCTGGGAAACTGCACCTTGGAGGCCGCAGATTGAGGGTTGAGGCTCTCAAGGCAACTTGCTTCAGCCTGGCATGAGCTGCTGTAGTTTCTTCATTCCACAAAACTCCCCAGACGTTGGGCGATCCAACACAAATTTCAGTTGACGTTTCAAATAGCGACCGGAAAGGATATCACCAGGTGCTTGGGGAATGTGCCAGCGCAAACCTGAAGCAATGGTTCAGTCTCCACAGGCCTCGGCACCAGTGGATGTGTGGGTCCCAGGTCCTTGATCTCAAGCTAGGGCTCCGGAGCTATGGGGGAAAATGGTGAAGAGTATCTTGACGACATTATGGCAGAAGCAATGAGTTTGCACAGCAAAGGCATCAAGGCTACCCACGACTTGCAATTCAAACCCCATATGTGTAAGGCCGATCGAGTTAGCTGTGCTTCGTGATCACTGAATTTCCAGCATTTCCCAGCAAGGCTTACGTTTGTTTGCGGCTGGCTGTTCGCAATGTCGGACGCCGTGCAGGCCCAACAGTATGTGCAGCATCCGTAAACATGAAAGCCGAGTTGATTGATATCAAGCTTGTAAGGAAAGATGGGCGGATGTATGGAAAGACAGCTAGAGTCACAGTAAGTGCCGTGCGCCGTTCGTTTTTGGACCATGACGCTGTGTAGAATTTCGAGTAGATGCCTGTTCTGCATTTGTGGTTTGGCAAAACTAGTTACCTAGCCAAAGTTACCACCTTTTCAACCATGTTTTTTTGAGGTGGGGTGCAAACGTTGGAAGTCTTTGTTTCGGTGCCCTAGAGGCTGCTATGGCTGCTTGAGCGTCGAAGAAAGCGTCCCGCGGTCGTGCATTCCAGTAATGCGGCTCCGAATCTCCCAGAAAGCGCACCAACGTCCATTGTAGGTAGTTCATCGCAACAACCCCAGGATCCAACTTGCTCGGTCTGCAGTCAATCTTTTATGCTGGCAGGACGAACTGTGGTCCAGTGCTACTTGGAGATGCCAGCAGAGGTAGCCAGTGGTCAAAAACATGGAAGAAGAACAGGACTCGCTTGTCACAGGCACCATGAGACCTCCTATCAGCATGCGCTTTTCATAGCTTACTCGACCTAAAGCAGCTGCTTGCAGACACGTCGCATGCCGGAAGAGGAAGCTAACCTGCAATGCATGGACTGCAGGTTTTGCAATATCTTAGCCGCATACAATGTTGCGAAGAAAGGCTGCTGTGAGAGTCAAGCCTCGACAAGGCGGGCTACGCGACCCCGATCCTGCGAGGGTTTCGGACGCTCAGCTGTACACTCCAGTCACGTGTCACGTGTACTGTGGCACCATCTTCCGAGCGTAGGTTGGTAATCCCTGTAATGTGCTAGAAAAGCTGACCAGCCAAGACTTGCAGCAACGCACAGCAAACAGGGATATCAAGGGCCAAATAAATTTCCGTGAGCCTGAAACCCATAAAGGAACTAACCTGTTCAAAGTGTGTTAACCCTTGCAAGTAAAATTACGCTCAGCAAGTTGAGTTTGAGAAATGTCAATATGTCAAAAGCGTGCCTGGGAAGTGACGCTGGGAAGTGCTCTCGCCACAGACGCGTTCCGAATTCCAGATCTGCTTCGCAAGCTATGTGCCGCGGTTTGGCGCGGCTTAGGCGTGGCTGTGGGCATCCTCCGGCCGTCTCGGGACAAGTCAGGTTTTTGTAAGACCCAGGCTCCACCGCGAAGGCTGGTGAACAACGCGCTGGGGTGTCGGGGTTGGTCGGGCAACCGGGTTTTGAGGATTTAGCGGACCTACTTGTGGCGGAGACCAAGTCGACATGGTTGTCACGCCGTTCAATATTCTCATTCTCGATTCCTAGGTTTTTGGTTGTACTGAGTACTAAGCATGTGTTCTCGCAGTCCGACTCCAGGCAGACTTCTAAAAGAACACAAGTCGCTTTTTCCATGACTGGGATGACCCAGTATTCCAGGCAGTGCTCCACTATTCCAAAGGCGTGGGACATTTGATTTATTTGCTAGTTTCTTAAGCAGCACGCCCCACAGCCCGGCATGCATCACAGCCAGAAGGAAAAAAAGGCGCCCCACATGAGTCCAAGGTGCGCCTCACCAGTCGACGGGTTTGAGGAGATCTGATCATTTGCACCTGCCAAAGAGCAAAGTCCATGACGCTGTTTTGAACGTGTTGTTGACAGCAAGCCATTGGCAGCATCTTATGGACAGCACGACAGTTTCGGCTTCCAAGATCAAGGGGCGCTTTTGTCGCCAGAAACTCGCATGGCATATGGATCATGTTGAGACGCTCAGTGTTTTGTGGGTTTGTGGATTGCTTATCGGTCGAGGCTGTGCTAGCCTCTGCTACCGTCCATGCACAAGTGCCCTGTGAACGGGCTTTCTCCATGCTGCGCTTGTTGCAAGTTCGGCGCTGCAAAGCTCGGGCGTGTGCGCGCATTTTCAAAACGTGCCGTTTTGTACCGGTTGCCTGCGCGTAGCCGTCCAAGCTAAGAAACGAGCACCAAGCAGCAATCAGAAATGCTGCATGTTTTTGTGGCAAATCTAAGCGGCTGTGCCAGGATCTAGACAGATCTTTGGTGGTACTGGTGTCATCCTGTGACATGTCCCTCTGTGGTCCAAACAGAGCACAGTTCCCCGCACCAAGGAAGACCGGAATCATCCCCGCAAACGACTCCGAGTCAGTTCTGCTGCACTTTAACGCTTGGGGCCTGGGAGTCCGCCTTGCTGTGCCTGGCTGGTGGTGCTGCAAATGCTTACTAGTAGTATTTGGCTGGTGGTATGGCTCAACAGCATGTCTTCCCTGAGGGTCTGATCATTCTGCCAAGTTACATCCTGCTTACAGCTTTTAAAGCTTTCCACAGGCTGCAGGAGCCGTGGGCTGAAGCCGAGGCTCGGGAGCTGTCCTTCTACGATCCCGCGTTTCAGCAGTGGCCCTTGCCTCAGTCTTTTTGATGTAGGGTACTTGTACATGGAAGCTCCTACGATCTGCCATGTAGGAGTTGATGAGAGCCCCGTAGACTCCTTTGACACAGGGTCTATTGCTTCATTTCTCCACATTTACTCCTTAGAACTCCTTTTGCTTTTCAAGGATGGTTCATATGCAGACACGCCCTGAGGATCGTTCCCAGTCATGTTCGCGCTCTAGTGGGAGAGTCCGGCGCCAACACGGCCATGATCGCACATCTCAAACCCCGCAATGCGCATCAGCTGACGGTCAGGTCATCAAGAGACATCAGGTTGAGCATGATGATCAAAATCCCACAAGGCCATTCGGCCAACTGGGCCACCACAGCGTCAAGCATCTCCAGAGTTTCTTTTCCCTTTCCCCAGACTCCGTTCCATCATGGACGCAGGAATTGTAGAGCAGCAGGCCGTTTGAGCGTCCACCAGGTAGCTCTCCCGGTCCTGCGCGTCGATGGGCCTGGGACCAAGGTCTCCATAACCGCGCGGTGCATTCCTGTTGCCTGCTACTGTCGGTTTTCATGTTAGTCGTTCTGAATGCGCTGATGATGAGGGTCATCCTGCAGATGTGCTGTTCAGGGAAAGCGCTCATGCTAGCTCGCTACGCAGGCTCAACTTGCTTCTTAGCCACCGATGTGCAAGCCGCCCTGCCAACCGAAAGCCAAAGTCCTCCAAGCCCGACACTGAGTCTGCCTTCTGGTGGCTCATTGCCGTACTGGTGGCGATCGCTGTGATCGTGCCCTTCATTTCCTACACGGTGATAAGGCAGGTCAGGGGTACACGGTTTGAGTCTCGGATATGTTCACCTCTCTTTACCGGTCGCCTTCTGTTCTTGGCTTCATGTGTTACACACCCGGTCATGGGGAGTGACTTTCACAGTTTGATGGCCAACAGTCATCTTCAGTCCTAGGCGTAAAATGTCCCCCAGCCCACAAGAGGAAGGTTCCTGCGGTCATGGACACAGGGGGACAACGCCATGAGAATTGCAAGTTTGATTGGTGCTTCCACTGGTAGTCAGTCGTCTAGCAAAGCTTCTGAAGCCCGATCGCCGCCAGGCGAAAACGAGATGACGCATCATCTGAGGATTCCAGTGCTGAATTGTCTTCTGAGTTCAGCGGGTGAATTCTGTGGCCACGTAACCTGCTGTTGGACGTGGAGCTTATCACGCATTTTTGTTTGAACGTGTTTGCTACCTTCCATGGGCTGCCATTTGATACTTCCCTTTTCGTCATTATCAGACTTCACCCAAAATTTGCCAACCTTGATCCCGTTGCAGAGTCCAGCAGCATTCTGCCGCTGCCAAGTGATGCAGACTCTGGCGAAATCGGTTTCATGCAAAAATTGGTTTCATCGCTTCAGAAGAAAGGTTCATGCCACGCTCAGATTCTCCCAAAGCAGGCGGGTGCTTTAGAGGACGAATTCTTACGCCAGAAGAAACAGAGTGATTAGCAGCATCCATGATAGTGTTCGGCAGCCGTGAGGGCCAAGCCATGGGCCTCAAGCTTGCAAGAGGGCTTGTGGAGGGTAGACCACGGATGACGCATATGATAGGCTTTCAGCTGTCTACTGTAGTCTTGAGCAAGCGCAAGGTCACTATCATGTGAGGAAAGCAGCCCCGAAACGTAGTGGCAAGTGTGGGACGACGAACCAGAAAGTGGCTACGTTTCGTAACCTCAAAGTGACGATTGCTGTTTGCATTAGTCATTGCTAAGAAACTCCACGCCATTCGAACATGGGGCTGCTGGTGGCTTTGAGGCCACGCTTGTCGTTCTCCCTGAGACGACTATATTACACGGTGTTCAAGGGGCGGGTGTCTCTCCAGCGCTCCCAGACACATTTTACCTTTGTCTTGTGCAGGCTGGGCTGATGGGCAAACGCCGGGGGCGCGCAGGTAGCGATGATGAGAGTCCGGGACTTTCAGAGACTTCAGCATGCGCATCCTTGAAGAGCTGCCGCTTCCATATTGGACAGGCCCTGATCTCCATGAGCGTAGCTTCAGCATAGATTAGCTATTCATGTGCAAGGCTTGCAGCTCGGAATCTGCACTTTTATGACCCGTGTGAAGATTCAGGTGTGCTTGGAACCCTTCTGTGAAAGCATCGCTAGAACTAGCCAAACAGGGGGGGGGATGTGATGAAGGAAACTGCTTGAATCAATCATGTTCCTCCATGCCGGCGGCTTAGCAGGCGTTCAGTGTTTGGAGCTTCAGGCAACGAAAGCAAATCTCGGCTACGGCGTGTGCAGCTGGCGGGCACCTTTGAGGAGTCTAGGCAGCACATAGGCAGATCTGTTACCTGCTTTCCTGGCTCACAGGTTCAGGACTTCATGCTTCAAGGTAAGGTTAGCACCAGCACACCCTCTGCGGCACCTGTGCTAGCTAGCTGCAACAGCATTCTTGCCATGGCATGTCACGCCCATGTGCCGAAGCACCCTCATGCAGCTGACGTTGCTGGAATCGCTCAGGATCAACCAGTGTCTGACTCGTTGGAGCTTGGCTCTCATCTCTAATGGGGTTGCCGTGGTACAGTGATACCAGAGCTTCTGTGTGCATGGATGCTTTGTCTGTGCTGTTCTGTGACATCTACGAATGGTTGATTGCTCGCAGAGTAGGCTTGCTATGATTTAAATTCATGCGCTCATGGTTGGCAGAATCATGACGCCCAGAAATCACTGTAGCCTATAGCCTATGGAGGGCCTAGATCCTTGGGACCACCCGCCAGTTGATGGAAATGAAGTCAGACCGGCACGAATCTGCAAGAGTCCAGTAACCTCAGCTTTTCCTTTGCCACTGGGCACAAGAAACGCTGAAGGAGCCTCCCCGATAGCAAGCTGCATAATCCACTACCACAAACGAGGTTGGTCCTAGCTCTCAGCTGCGGCTCCGGTGCCGAGCTTAGCGGCTCAGCACAACAAATGCCAAAATTCTGACAGCATAGCACTTACGACCTAGCAAGTGTGCAGGATCCCGTGCTTAGAGATCTCACTGATGCCTCATGAGCATTTGCAATCTTTCTGCGCAGCTTTTGCAGACCGGCAATAGCCAGGGAAATCCAATTCCCGTAGGGCCGGACTGGCTACCGATGGTGCCATCAACGTCGAACAAGATGCGGCCGCAACCGACGAATTTCAAGGCGCAGGCCCGGTCTTACTCTGTCCCATCTGCACGTTGGGGTCGTTTCCCAACATAGGGCCCATGTCATATCCCCAAATCCCACTTGCCGTGCCACGTGAAATTTGTATCTCAAAATTGGGGATGTCAAGCTGGCCTTTGTCACAGGAGGGGTGTAATCATGTAAGCATGATACAAGCACATTTCTGTGTCTGCGCGGAAAAGACCAGGGGGTGTTTGCACGCCTCAAGGCCCACTCGCCCGTGACGGATGCCCGCCGGTTTTCACACGAGATTTGCTTGGAGCCATGCCTCCTCAATGGGTTTTGCCGTCGCGGACGTCGCCGCCTTCACGAGATCGAGGAAGCTACGCCGCTTGCATAGTCTCATGTATGGAGGCGGTGAGCCAAAGCCAAAAGGATTAGCAGGAGTGGCAGCAAGCAATGGCAGCTCTAGCAGCAGTGCCATCACAAGCACGCGTGCTGTCGAGAACGGGCGGCCTAGAGACAAGTCAGCCCAGGAAAGCAGTGGTGAAGCTCGACCGTGCTCGCGGTGTGCTGAAGGTTTACGGCACGGCGCAGGCCATCAAGGACATTCGGATGTGCTGCAGTGCAGGGGGGAAGGGCAAACATGACTTTCAAGATCCATTCCGGCCTCAGGATGTGGAGCGCCAGCTGGAGTGCATGACAGGACCTCGGAAGGAAATCTCTCGAGCTTCATGGGCAGAGCTCATGCGCACGAGGACCTCCAAACGTCAGATAAGTCAGATACTGCTGATTGATGTCTCGGTCAGTAGGTCAGGTTTTAAAATCAGTGTTGGTTTATTGCGATTTGCCGGCAGTCATGAGGTGGGATCAGATGCTGCTACCACAGCGCTGTCCAATGCTTGGTCCCGTGTCTCCATGCAAGGACTGGACAAGCGGATGGGGTTGCCCTCCAGCGGATTCAGAACCAGAGCGGCTGTCGGGTGCACATCGAGCGTTCCAAAAGTGAAGTTCGACTCTTTGGCCCCAAATCCGCCGTTGCCGCGGCCGACCAGCTCCTGGACGGCTCCTCGCTAATCAAGACATGGACTGTTTCTGTGCTTATCTCGCTGATGCTTCGTATCTTCTTGGACAGTGCCGGACACGCAGCACATCTAAGGGTTTCAAACAATGTGTATGGAGCGTCTGGTTTCGTGCTCTGTCAACGATTTAAATCTGGACGTCCTCAACGAGCTGGCACAAGCCCGCGGCTTAGAAGCCCAGCCCTGGCTGGCCGTACATGAAAAGTTGCTGGTCCAGTTCGTGAAGCTCGTCATGAAAGGTCCTCTGCGTCACTTTCCGACTGGAGGGGAACCTCATCTTCATCCTGGGACTGGAGGATGTCGTGACAGATGCTTCCACAGAGTTGACCAAGTACTTGGCAAATCCCGAAGCTAAGACGGCACATAGTTGGCAGCTGTTTTTGACAGATTTCATGGTGCAAAGGGTGCAAAATGATTCTCGCAAAGCGGTGACTCCAAGGAAGGGTACGTGCTGCCATCGTCTGCGGAAGCGGGCGCAGCCTCAAAGGTTTCCGCCAAGGTTCCTCGACAGATCTGAACCGGTAGCCTCAGTGATCCCTCTGAGTCTGTTGAAACACCCTTGTTGCCAGATCTCCTCCCTGATTGGCAGCGTGGACTGCAGCCCTGGCACAACCACAGCAGCTGGGTCTCATCCGTACTGCAAGCTGGGAAGGTGGCATCCCTGTAATTTGTGTGGACTGTCCTGGCAGCCTAGGCATCCGGAGAAGTTTACGAGAGCGGCAGCGACTTGGGAGCCGACTGGAGCCCATCCCAGGCCCTTTGAAAGAGGAATGCAGCTAGAACGAATGGCAGCTACCCTTGCAGCAAAACAAGGCAATCAGACCCTTCTTGATTAATACTAGCAGTTGTCTTAAAGTCTTAGGTGTAGTCAGAAGAAGAGAACAAGTTGAGGAGGGCGTGTTGTTTGTGGAAACCTTCCAAGTAGAAGCGAAGCAGCTCAGCTGTAGTGCTGGGAGTCTCAGCCCTTGACAGTTGAACGTTTTGCTGGATTTGGGCAGGTGAGCCAGCATCAGCCATCTCCCTCCTTTGGCACGCTGACAAGCGTCTCCCCAATGGTCATGCCACAGCCGGCTGCATGCTGCCCAAGCCCGGCAGGCCTCCCCCTCAGCCCTGCTGAAGTGCGCGGGACCAAACGGTAAAGAAGACTTGGCATGGGATTATGCAAGCCCACCTGCTGGTTCTTGCCCTGTGGCATGTGATCCCCAAGCTTTTGGACGATATTCTTCAATTCTTTCTCTGCTGAGGCATGCAGCATCAGCAGCCTCTGATGCGAATGAGTCCAGGTGGGAACGACCCAGATGCCCACTTTTGCCAGTGCTGCGGGGCAGCGCGCTTTTGTGGCCATTGTGGGCACCAAATCTGGCAGACTTCCGCGCCAGGCGGGCCGTGCATGTTTTGCACATCCCTGGCGCTTTTGCAGATCATCTGCTCTTCAATGATCTGTTGGTAAGGAGGGCTCCCGACGCTTCTGTTAACCTGCCAGGCTACGCCATGCTGGCACCGTCCCAGGGAATGATCCCTGTGGCGCAGCCTCAGCCCAACTATTTCCAAGTATGCGTCCCGCAGCAAGGTCCGCAAGGCTTCCAGCTTAATTTTGCGGGTAGTCATAAAGCGTTTGTCCTTGCGAAGCCGCAGGCATGATGCCCCAGATGGGAGCGATGCCAGTAGGACGGTGACACAGCATAGGACATGCAGTCCATTGGCCCCGAGGCAGGTTTTGTGTAGCTAAAATGCTTGCAACATTCTCGGAAGAGAAGCAAGTCAATCAGAGAAGTGCCGCCAATCTTTAGCCGAGCTCTTCAATCTTGGCATGGCAAGGCCAACTTTTTTCGCGGCAGTGGGGGCAAGATGCGGCTTGGACAAGTGATGATCGGACGGTTGTGCAAGTGCGGAGCAACGGTTCTAAGGAGCCCAGCGAGCGAATTTTTAACTCCCTCGCTCGCAAGCACAGCATCCGCCAGCAACTCACTTGTGGATGCAAACCACTTACCACACAGTGTGGTCTATTGCCGTTGTCGTGGTCACTGAGGACATTTTCTTGCCGCCCTTTGACTTTGAGACAGGCTTACATCATTTAAAACTTTTTGTGCGGCTTGCAAGCCTTCCTCTTAGAGGAGGCGACTGAGCCGGTGCACCAACAATCGGCATTTGCTTGGCCTAGCGGCGGATGCTGCATGGCCAGCTGGAAACTGCACTCTTCTGCACGCTTTGTCTGACTGTTGTGTAGCCAACATAGCCACTGCATAGCTGCCTACGCAAGTGGTTCGAAGACAAACGCGCAGAAAGCCGTGGTCGGCTCAGTTCGCGACGCGTGTTCGCGAAGCTCTGGGCTTGCCCTTCCCTCTGCCATTTCCCGCAGACTCGCTCATGTGTGGCACAGACTGCGAAGGCCCGATCCCGTGATTGCCTGGAGTCAATTTTTCGAACCTGCGGTGCAGCCTCTGATCCACCATGGAAGCCCGACCTCTGAACCAAGAGAAGTTGGGTCAAGAGGCAATCCGCTATCCGCCTGATGCTGCAATTGCAATGATAGCTTTGTCTTTCCGGCTTGATTTCATTTGGGCTTGTAATCGTGTCCGCGCGACTCTTTGTCAGAGGAGTCTGTGCACCAGCGGAATCAGGTACCAGGCCTTCAATCAATTTGTATATACATGTCATACATTTCCTGTGTGTGTCTCCATGTGCTCATCCATTTCCACCCCTCGAATCATGCAAAATTCTGGGATAGAGCCAATCAATCAATGAATCAATCAATCATGGCGTGAGTTCAAGGCAATAGCATGGATGCTTGAAAACAGGAGCCACTCCAGTATCCACAGACTATATACCCTGTGGCGCACTTTGCCGAGCCTTGCACTCGAGTCAAAAATGCAGCGCGACCAGTGAATGCCTGGGTTGCACACTTTGCACAAACTGACCTGTGACAGGTCTTGAACAGGGATTCGTACCCGAGGGTAGAAATATCTTTAGGAGAGAGGTGCTCTGAAGCCAATGACCGATGTTCTTGATCACGAAGAGTGGTTCTTACTAATTATTTTCGATTGCCTGTGATGTTCATCCATGTCAGTGGCATCAGCACACCATTGAAACCTGATGGGCATGCGTTCGCATGGTTGAGGGTTGCCAGGTTCTGTGCCAGTGTGGAAGACTACCGACATCCCACAGGACTGTCTCTGTTTGCGATGCCGATGCCACTGCGCTGCGAGTCTAGCTGATCTTTTCTCGCCTACCTAATGCAGACCATCTCAGCACATGGAAGAGTGCCCAGCTGCTGGTTGCCAAGTCAACTCAGCGTCGTATGCTGGCGACGGTCAGATGAAAAGAGGGCATGCGCTTTTTCGTAAATGTCTATGCGTCCAGCTCTGTGCATCAAGGAAGGAAACCCTGAGCCTTTGTACAGTTTCCACAAGCTAAACGTCGGAGAAATGCCAACTCTCCTCTGTTAAGGCATAGTTTCTGGAGGCATTTGCATTGCTGTGAGCCACGCGTCATAATTGAGTTCTTGCGAGCAAGTGCATGATCCCAGCTTGGTGTGAGGACTCGCCCTCGCCCCCTAAGCAGCGTTTAGCGCCCAAAGAGCCGCTGCGTGACTTCTCCGCTGGAGTCTCAGAAGGCAATTGCTTCCCACCACGCAGAGAAGCACATGTAATGCTGATGATGTCGATGACGGTGTCGTGAACAGGTGGTGTGTTCCCGGATCAGGATGAGAGGTTGTTCGCTTTTACTAGTAGCAAATGTTCACACGACTTGTGCCACGATTTGCCCAGCCACAAAGAGCAGCAAACAGCTGCTTTTGCCCAATTGCTTTCAACTTCTTGTTGCTCGTACATGCTTCGATGTGTCCGCGTGATGGACTTGGCAGCATGTGCTAACCAAGGTGTCAATGCCTCGGCTGTCTTTGTCGGACCGCGCATGAAAACGAATGAGAGGGAGAGGGAGGGCCCTGCACTTCGGCTTGGGGGTCCCCGGAGGTGCAGTAGTGCACCCTACAGCCGGTAGAAGAAGAAGAAGGCCCTGCACTTCTCATGTTAGTTGTGATGGGCATCAAGACCTTTTCTTGAATGGCTCTAGTATCCTCTAGTTCCTATTGCAGTCATATCTTGGCTTCTGACGCGGATTCCAGGGGCAGAACTTAGCCACGTGTGAAGTCAGGGGAGCTGGCTTTTTCATCATGGGGTTCTGAACGAGGGAAGGCGGTGCTCCACAAAAATCTACCTTGACTCAAGAAGTCGGGCCTCTGAATGACCTAGGGTTTTCAATTTGACAGCGAACGCGCAGACAATATTGGGGAACGGATTCCTATCGGCGGGCAGGCCCAGCTGAACGACACAGAGAGACATGAGTGAGAGGTTGCTGCTTCCGTTTGGGAATTCAATGCAGGAAGTTGACGTGGGCAAGCTGCCGCAGCAGGTGAAGGCGCGTGGTGTTCAAGGTGATGACGTGTACTTTAAAGATTCCAGAGCCGAAATGTGTACCTGACGACAAAAAGTCCCTTATGGCTGAAGAATGGGCTCTTGAACACGTCCCAGGCTGCCCTTGACTTCCTCGTGCTCTTGAATCCATGCGATGTTCGTACCTCAACAAGATGCCTGTTAAAGAGAGCAATGGCAGTGGTAGAAGTGGATAGGCTTGGAGGGCTCTCATGTCCCATTCTGTGAAACCGAGATCGTGACCGACGGGGTGGCTGCCCAGCAGCCAACCTTGCTTCCTCCTCA